TGTATGCATAAGGATCATACTCTATCTGGCTTCGATCTGAAGAGCCACGCTTGCCTTGGTGAGGGCAGCGTGCCCAAAAAGGGCTGTATTTGGTAATAGTTCAAGCGTTGGACAAAAGATGCAGGGGGAGTCTCAGGATTCAAAGCTATGTGCTCAAGCAGCAGAGGAAGGCTTGTAGCTTCCTGGATACCAGGCTGGCCAAATGTTTCTGGTTACATCTTAAATGTTGCCTCGGGTTCTTGCAGAGTTGTGTTCTCTGCCCAGGTCCCAGGGGTCATCTCCATTTTCTGCTGACTAGACAGACATGTCTCAGGCCTCTGGGTCAGCTTTTGTGCTGGGGAGCTGATCTCATAGCCCAGTGGGAGACGCTTTTTTTTTTCTTAGACTGGATTTTATTCTGTAGAAGTTGGATCACCCAATCCAGCGTGACTAGAAAACACCATGCTTTTCAGCATGGATGCTAGCTGCTTCTGCTCTTTGCCAACAAGACTAGTTCTCACAAAAAGCAGTCACCAGACATCCCTTGGCCAGATGCTGTAGTCCTCTTGCCTGGTATACTGCTGTTTTGTATTCTTGTGCTTTGCTCCTGACTGCGTTGGGGTTGTGAAGGGAAAGTCCAGCTTTTGTCAGTGTGACCTTGTGGTTGGTATTTATCCCCCACCTGTGGCCCAGCTCCAGAGTCGTCAGTGGCCATCTGCCTGTCTTCAGTGCCGCAGGTCCTGAGGGCTGGCCACAGTCCTAGGAGCCGCAGCAAGGCGTTGCTGGAAAGATGGATATGCAAGCTGCTTACAAGGAAGATGTGCGTCAACAGTGCTTAATGCAGTCAGCTTTCTTGCTGTCTGATACATCACAATTTTAAATGTTTATTCTCCTTTTTATTTCGGAAAATAGCTTTACTAGCGAGTCATGAAGCATAGCCGGTGTGCCTGTACAAGACGGCTTATAAAGAGTGGGAACGTCAGCATCGTGGTGCAGTCTGCAGCAATTCTTACACCCACTGCAGTGCAGCTTTCTGCCCCCACCTCTCAAGTGTGTGGTGACTTCTGAGGCTATTTTCCCTGTCACCTTAAGTTGCACCACCAAAGAGGACATCCCTGCTCTTCCCGCTCCCTTGTTCCTGTGCTGGCGTCCTCAGGTGGTGCTGCTCTGGTGCTGTGAACTGGCAGGAGCTGGCATCTCCTTGATTCCGGTGGTGGTCCGGTAAAACATCGGTAGTCTTCAGCCAGGGTTCAGTAATGTTTAAGAATACCCTGGCTGGGTCTTCAAGAGCATGGCACAGTTTGTTTCTGTGGAGGGGCGTATGCTCTGCTGGAGGGTAATGTTGGTACTGGGGGCAGGCTTTACCCCACTGAACAGCTAGGAAGAGCAGAGTTGCATTGTTTGTCTTGCTGGCTTTTGTTTGAAAATAATTTGTGTGTTACTACAAGAAAATGCAGCTTATTGCTCTTTCTTATGCCCATCCTCCTAAAAAATGTTTGAGCAGTGAGGTATGTGGTTCAGACTTGGAGCAGATACACTGACAGACAGGCATCTAAACTTAAATACTGTAGAGCAAATTCTCTTCCAGTACAAGAATTCTTTACTGTGGAGGATAATGGAATACAGGATGTGGTATGACCTTCTGCAGTCAGCAATAACTCTGCTCCTGAACCTCACCCCCACCTCTCGCGAGTCAGGCTTGATGGACGATCTCTCTTGCTAACTATAGATCAGTTTGCTGGAAGGGGGAGGACACTAAACTAGCATCAATGTTTTACTGCTATTTGAGCTACAGCGGTGGTGTTGGACCATACTAAAGGATCTGCTTGGATGAACTGGTCTGCCTCAAGCTGTTCTATGTATTGCGCACTGCATTTTACACGATAATTGGAAGGACTCTGAATTTTATAAGCCAACTAAAATAGTTGAACCCATGCCTTTGTTTAACAGAGGAAGGATGAGTAATATTTAGGCCTTCAAATAGTTTGCTGCTTTATAGTTGTTTGAAACTGCTGGGATTCTTCTGTCTTTGTGGGTAGTGTCCATGTTTAGTAATAACTGTTTACTTTGAGTTAATCTGATGAAAACCACTAAGCTGTGTCTGAGCTATAAAGTGTCTGTTTTTCAAGCTCTGTAGATAGCTTCCTCTTTTAAAATGTTGTCTGAAACGCTACTTGCCACAAAGTATTTTTTTCTCACGTTCACTTGTACATGGGAAAGTATTTGGTACATTGCTGTTTTCTTTAGAGTGTGTGGATGAATGTGTGGAGCAGTCATAACCGGGTTTGGGCTCTCTCCCCGCTTGGTGCAGAACATATTCGTTGTGGCTGTCACTCCCTCACAGGTGTGATGGCACATCTGAAACTTGTCATGTTGTGTTTTCTTGGAGGCAGTGGGGTACTTGGCAGTGAGCCTGGGGCACTTTTTGATGGCTGCAGCCTGTTCTCATTGCCGCTTTCCCGGGAACCCTTGGACCACCTCAGTCATCTCACAAGTGTCTGTAGGCCGTGTAGTGGAGAAGGCTTGAAGGACTCCACAAGGTGGATGGCTGCTGTCCTCAGAATAATTCAGGTGGCATGTTTTTAGTTGTTGCTCACCTTTAGGAAAGGAGGCTGCTGAAAGCAGGCCAAGGGTTCACATCTCTTGTTCTGATGGCCAAAATCTGCCTGTAGACCAGAACTGAGGCACTCCTAGTTGCGAGAACAATCTGCATGGACCTTGCGGGAGGTGTGCGAGTCTGCCTGAGTGTTTGTGATCTCCACCTGAAGTTAATGAAGGTGTGTGAAGCTAACGAGTCTGCTTAGATTATCCCCCTTCTCTAAAGGATGGATAATAGTTCTGTTGCAGGCAAAACTGAGACCCTGAGAGATTTTGATTGGCTTTCGGTGAAAACTGAGAGTAGTACCGGACCTGAGAATCACATGCATGTCTCCTGAGCATCACAATTACCATTATCACACAGATGAATCTCTTATCTAGCTTGTCCTAGGAAGTTTAAACTACAGGAAGGTGCGAAGTTAAACTTGTCCCATATATTGTTTAAAATAACTGAAAAAGCTGCTTTAGTCATTGGCAAAACAAAAGAAACCGAATCCAAGACAAAGCTGTCAGCAAGGAGAGATTTAAGGCTGCAAAGCATTTGTCTGAAATCTGCAAAGTGCTGATCTGTTGCAGATGCTGCTACCTTGCTTGTTCTCAGATATTAACTACCATTAAACCAAACTAAACCATATATGATATAAGCAACTCTGCTGCTGAAATTTCTTCTTGTTGATAAAGCAAATAAGAGGGAGGAGAGAAATCCACAGCATGTTTTTGTCTTTGTAATACGACTTAGGCTCTGAGTGAGTTTAGGAAATGGGACTTGGAAGGATACCTTGAAGAGACTTTGATATGAGTTGCTACAGAGAGGGACCATCTGTGTTGGGGTTGTTTTTTTTCCCCTCCTATTCCCTGCCCCAAACCCTCTCCCCCCCCCCCCCCCCCCCCCCCTTAAAACCCAGCTGAATATTCACCTTATTCCTCTTACACTGAATGTAGTTGTGTGGTCATGTAACCACAAAAGAAAATGTTTTCCATCAGATCAGTGAGGTGATTACACTCAAATGTACGTACACTGATACTCCCCAAATCCAGTG